TTGTCTTTCTGTCTACAATTACGGCGATTACTCATTTCCTCGTCCGGCCCGCGCCGCGCACTTAACAGAGTGCATTTTACTAATGGAAAATTAAGTAGCGCCCGTGACAGTCCGCTTTATAAATATGTAAAATACACTTTTAATTATTTGGAGTGAATCTGGCAGGTAATCAATAACGCTGGACGTGACAAACATACGCTTGACACTGGCCATTGTAAAGCGCCGCTTAAAAGATAAGAGTTTCGTGTCAGCGCCGTCCGGCTCCAATTAATATTTGGAGTCTGTCACTGCGCGGGACAAATGGATTAATTGCGGGCCGCTAATATAATAGCTTCTTCATGAAGAGCTCAGGAGGAGACCGGCTTGAACTCTGACTTTAAATATTCATTAGAGCTTGTGTTTGGAATTATCTGTGATTATGATGCCGTGTTTATGGTTTATTCTGAGGTGTCGTGATTATCTGAAGAAGTACTGCAAACACTGATCATAGCTTTCGTAATGCTCAGCAGATCAGAGAAATTATGCCGTGAACCATCTTCATATAGTTTATATTTTAATGCACATGAATAAGCTTTGGGCGGTAAAATGTTATTTTGTTAAAATAAGTCTGTGTAATTTGTATTCATTTTTATTTCAGTTTTAGTTTTAACCATTTTATTACATAAAGTTAAAATAAATTATAATGAGAAATGTTGCCTTGGCAACTAGCTGAAATATTGTATTTATTTATTTATTTTATTTCTGTTAACGTTTTTTATTTACCCTAATTAATTTTTTTATGGTTTTAATTTTAGTTTTAATTTTAGCTACCTATAATAACCCTGCTTGCATTGGTTATTGGTGCGTTCATGACATATCGAAATTAGTAAAAACAAAGTAGAAGTTGATTTTATTGTTTTGAATTAAATTAAATTTTGGTTTTAGTATTTTTTGTGAATTTTTGTCATTTTTATTACAAATTAAAAATATTTAATGTTTATATAGTTTTAGTTTTAGTTATTTTTAGTTAGATTCTCACCTCCCCATGACTGTTTGCTATGTCTTTTTTATGCCTGTTATATGTGCTGCGTTTCTTCGTTCTTCAGTGTTTTGTAAGAGCAGATGTAATGTGGCTCTTCTGAATTGAGTTGTTTGGTGAATTAATGTGTTTTGTATCGATCGTCTGCTGCTTCATACAGTTGGTTTGTGGAATGGGCGTCTCCGTCTCCGTTTGAGGTGAAACGGCACATAAACTAAAGCAAACAGAAATAAACAGAAGCCTTTCCTGGAAACTGACCTTCATCGCGCCTCTCCTCGACGGGCCGCCCGGGTCGCGCCGGGAATGTTCTCATCAATTAAATGTGAACGCTGGGGTGAGCGGGACCTTCTGTTTGTGCTTTTGACAAATCAGCACATGTTTAATCTCAAGATGAGCCGCGCCGCGCTCATAAATAATGCAGGAGGGGTTCTGTGCCCACAGTCCTTCAGTGCCAGTCCACCGCCATCATCTTCATCAGCAGCATCTTCCTCATTCACAGACACACAAAATAACTTTATTTAGGACCAGTGTTTGCTCTCTGGAACTGGGTTTCACTCTTTATGAGTGCATGTCTGACCCCAAAAAACACCCATTTATGTCAGATGAGTTTATTTAAATCAAATGCAGGAATATCTGTCAATAATGCAATAAGATATAACACGAAAAAATTAATTTCCTACTTCTACTTAAAAACTCAAGTTTGGCTGCTGCTGTAAAATTTTTAAGTATAAACAAATTGGCTGTACAAGTCATTTCAAACTTAAATTATATTAAACTTTCCACAAAAATATTGTGCAGCACAACTGTTTTCAACATTGATAATAATCAGAAATGTTTCTCGAGCAGCAAATCAGCATATTAGAATGATTTCTGAAGATCATGTGGCACTGAAGACTGGAGTAATGATGCTGAAAATACAGCTGCGCATCACAGAAATAAATTACAGTTTAACAGATATTCACATAGAAAACAGCTGTTTTAAACTGTAAAAATATTTCAAAATTTTTACTGCATTTTTGATTAAATAAACGCAACCTTGGTGAGCAGAAGAGACTCAAGAGTTTCTCTTGCAGGTCCTAATAAAGTCACCAGCCAACTGGCACGCAACATATTTACTCGCCAAGCCAGTTTTTACTGTGGGTCGGATCTTGGCGAGTGTTGATTTTGGAGTCGGACCTTGCATATGTGTGAAGATCAGTGAAGCAGAGAGAACCTGAGAGCGTCAGATGGCCATTCAGTCCGTCTCTAACCAGTTCTATTGTGCTCTTTTCTTGCTTCCTAACTGTATTCTCTGAGCGTTTGTATTCGCTGATGCCGGGACGTCCGTCTCCCATGACTCCTGAGCGTCTCTCCGCGTCTTTAGACACTATTGAGAGCTTTAGCCCACAGTTTTGGGCCGCTGCATTGAGCCCTGAGCGGACAGGAAGCAGGTTTTGCTCTTTTTAGTCCAACTTGAGGACTGGAGGTGCAAAAGCCCCTCAGAAAAGCAGTTAGTGAACTGTGAACCGCATCAAATCCCCGGCGCCTTACGCCTGCGGGCTCCGTTTGTTTGGGCCGTCGACAGACACAGAAACCGTCTGATTGTTCGGTAAAAATTAAGAATATAATCCTATTGAAGTAAATCTTTGGTCATGCTAAACTCTGACTGTGCTGCTTTGAGCGGCTCAGATCGAGCGCTTTGACAGAATCGGCTCTGGCTATAATTTACATGTTATATTTGAGCGCCGTGAACTCGTTACATAAGAAAAGAGGCCTTTCCTTCATATTCATAAGAGCAAGTTTGTGCTCTTTTGTGGTGTTGGGTTTTACATAAACACATAAAGTTATGAAAAACGACTGACGTCACTTGATATTCTGCGAACCGTATCTGCTGAGAAATCTCACTACAATGATGCATTATTGACCCAACAGTAATAAAAGTGCTCATTTCAGCTGGTTTTCGATGTTTTTGCTACTTTACTAAGTAGTGGTTGGCTGATATGGGTTTTTTGTTGTCGATATCTTGATGGCCGATATAAAGCCGATATATAAGATATCAAAAAATTTAATTTTAACAAGTAAAAACACATGCATAGCATTTGCTGAAATTAAATCTATTTCAAAATAGATTTATTTAGATGTATTTTTGCTACTTTACTAAGTAGTGGTTAACCGATATGGATTTTTTCATTTTTTTTGTTGGCCGATATCTATTGGTATCGGATACCTATGTATCCGATATCACAATATTTCATTTAAAAAATGTAAAAACGTTTGCATAACAATTGCTGAAATTCTATCAAAACATATTCAATATGATGTTTTTAGATGTATTTGTGACATTACTAAGTATTGGTCAACCGATATGGATTTTTTTGATGACCGATATCTAATGGCCGATGACCGATATTTATGAAATCACAATATTTATATATATATGACTTCAGAATATTTAATTAAAAAAAATAGTAAAAATGCATACATCATTTCTGAAATTAAATCAAAATAGATTTAATATGATGTATTTAGTACTTTACTAAGTAGTGGTCGACCAATATGGGTTTTTTGTTGCCGATATCTTGGCGGCCGATATAAAGCTGATATATATGATATCACAATATTTAATTAAAAAAATGTAAAACACATGTATAGCATTTGCTGAAATTAAATCTATTTAAAAAAAGATTTAATTATATGTATTTAAATGCATTTTTGATACTTTACTAAGTAGTGGTCGACCAATATGGGTTTTTTGTTGCCGATATCTTAGCAGCCATATTCATAAGAGCAAGTTTGTGCTCTTTTGTGGTGTTGGGTTTTACATAAACACATAAAGTTATGAAAAACGACTGACGTCACTTGATATTCTGCGAACCGTATCTGCTGAGAAATCTCACTACAATGATGCATTATTGACCCAACAGTAATAAAAGTGCTCATTTCAGCTGGTTTTAGATGTATTTGCTACTTTACTAAGCAGTGGTCGACCGATATGGACTTTTTTAATGCTGATATCTTTGGCAGCCTATATATATATATATATATATATATATATATATATATATATGACTTCAGAATATAGGAGTTACATAAGAAGTTACATAATAGTTTCTTAATAAAGCTATTAACATATGTTATATCCTATAATGGCTAAGTAGTGGTCGACCAATATGGGTTTTTTGTTGCCGATATCTTAGCAGCCAATGGCAGTATAAAGCCGATATATGAGATCACAATATTTAATTAAAAAAAAAAAAAACACATGCATTACATTTGCTAAAATTATATCTATTTCAAAATGTATTTATTTAGATGTATTTTTGATACTTTACAAAGTAGTGGTTAACCGATGTGGATTTTCTTTTATGGATGATATCTAATGGCCGATGACCGATATATATGATATCACAATATTTTATCTAAAAGTTGTAAAAAAAAAAAAGGTTTGCATAACAATTGCTGAAATTCAATCAAAACAGATTAAATATGATGTGTTTTGATGTATTTGGTACTTAGTGGTCGACCGCTATGGATTTTTTTTGATGGCCGATATCTTGGCACCTGATAGATGATACATATATAATATCTCAATATTTAATTTAAAAATAGTAAAACACATGCAAAACAGTTGCTGAAATGAAATATATTTCAAAATAAATTAATTGGAGGCACTTAGAGGTTTTTTCTACATTACTAAATATTGGTCAGCTGATATAGTTTTTTTTGATGATATCTTGGTGGCTGATAACCGATATACAGCCGATATATATGGTATCACAATATTTAATGTAAAAACACATGCATAACAATTTCTGAAATGAAATATATTTCAAAATAATGCTTCCGATATATAAGCCAAACCGATAATAAAAATGCCGATATATCGGCAAACCCCAATTTTCACAAAACAGGTGAAGAAATCCCACAGGTGCACATCTGCAGACCAGAAAAGCCACACCTTTGAGTTTCCATGTTGAGTAATGTCTCTCTCTTTGTCTTTCAGGCACTGGGATGTTGCTACTTCATCCACGAATCCTTGAAAAACATCCAGCAGTTTGATTTCAAAGGTACGTGTGTCCCTTTAATACGGCGTGCCATCAATCCCATCAGATCCGGCGCGGTCAAGGTTGTTTCAGAAGCCATAAAACATGCTAAAATGGAGTTACCGATAGGAAATAGTAATGCTTATTAATATTAGGATTTAATTCATGAGATTTCAGCCTGTGGTAATAGTGCACTCAAGCTATTGGACAGTTAGCGGTGACCTCATCAGCGGTAGGGGTCAGAGGTCGCGTGTCCCGACGGTCACACTAATTAAAGCCACTCCCATTACAGCGGTGTGAGCATTAGCCCGCGCCGGACCCTTCAGCCCCGCTCAAACCCGGAGCTCTTAAAGACCACGATATCTCCCACATGATGGCCGTAATCACGCTCTCCATCAGACTCACAAAACCCGAATGAATCATATTTCACCGCAAAACCACAAGACAGGAAAATAAGAGCACGTTTCAAGAAAAAGAACAGTGAAAAAGAAGTGTTTCCCAGTGTGGCATTATTTTTTACAGCGACGTGCATTTCCACAAAAAAAAGAAAGTATTTAAACAGGCTAGTAATTGATTAATTTATGCTGATTTATTTATGAGTAATTAATTTATGCTGATATAAAGGTAAAAAATAATTATTATAGTAAAAATGACTATGGTGTTAATCACACAAAAACTCAAAAGTAAATTCAAGTAAAGCATCCAGATGCATTATAGCCATGAGATTTTATGTAGTTAAAAATAAAATAAAACATAAATAAATAAATATAATGTATATATTTTTATTACCTTAAAATTATTATTATTATTATTATTTAAATTTTAATGCATTTAAGCACTTTTTCCTTTTGGTTTTATATTTATTTAAATTATGCTGATATAAATGTAAATAAAAATATAATTTTTATACTTAAAGACTAGATTTTCTTTGAGTATAATGAGAATTACACAAAAACTCAAAAGTAAATTCAAATAAAGCATCTAGATGCATTATAGCCATGAGATTTTATGTAGTTAAAATTAAAAATAAAATAAAACATAAATAAATAAAAACAAACAAACAAATAATTAAATAATATGCATATATTTTTAATTACCTTAAAATTATTATTTTTAAAAAAAATAATTTTAATGCATTTAAGCACTTTTTTTTCTTTTTCCTTTTGGTTTTATATTTGTGTAAATTATGCTGATGCAAATGTAAAAAAATTAAAAAATTTTATACTTAAAAAAGACTATATTTTTGTAATGGTAATCATCTTTCGGTGTCATGAGAATTAGACAAAAACTCAAAAGTAAATTGTGGTTTGTGTGTGTGAGCAGTAGGTGGCGCAGTTGCCCTGATCTCTCGGACTCTAATAAGAGTCTCTGAACATGTTTGCATGTTAATCAGTGCTGTTTTATTCCTCCTCGTTTTCCTTCACGCAGCCAAGAAGTTCAGGAAGGTGTTTGGGAAGGAGGTGTGTTCGGACGCTCTTCTGAGCGCAGCCACGCTGGAGAAAGAGAAGTTTCCTCAAGACTATTTCCCTGAGGTGCGTCTGCTCCTTCTGAATAACTGCAGAGATGTCTGCTTCAGTCACATTTCCTCAGATTTCAGGTTCATATTGAGAGGAAAGCGTCTCTCTGATGTCCAGATGAGCGCTTGACTGATTCGATCTTAAATCAGGAATATGGCATCCCTGCTTAATTTGGATCGCAGTATTGTTCATTTGAATAATTTAAAAATAAGTAACTTAAGTAACAAGTAACAATAATTAACAATAAAATAAAAAATAATGTATTTAAAGGGGACATGATAAGGATTTTTTAATTATTTTAATATGTTCCTTGAGCTTTACTTACTGTGTAATATTAATAAAGTTTTTTTGCACACAAAAAAACCCCCAAAACAACAAATAAATATGTGGAAAACAGAAAACAAGCAGCTTTGTCATAATTATGGCTGAAACACTAAATGAAATATCCAATAATGGGGGCCTTTGAATTTCATTTCAGCAGTTTTTACTGTAATTTAAGCATATTTTATATATATACACTACGGGTCAAAAATGTTTTTCAGGAGTCTCTTCTGGTCATCAAGGCTGCATTTATTTGATCAGAAATACAGGAAAAAAATTAATATTGTGAAATATTATTGCGATGTAAAATAAAATTTTTCTATTTTAATATACATTAAAATGTAATGTATTTCTGTGATGCGCAGCTGTATTTTCAGCATCATTACTCCAGTATAAAGTGTCACATGATCTTCAGAAATCAGTATAATATGCTGATTTATAATCAGAGCTTTTTTGGAACCCGTGATACTTTTTTCAGGATTCTTTGATGCATAAAAAGTTAAAAAGAACAGCATTTATTCAAAATATAAATCTTTTCTAACAATATACACTACCGTTCAAAAATTTTGGGGTCTGTACATTTTTATTCTTTCTTTTTTTGAAAGAAATTAAAACTTTTATTCAGCAAGGACGTGTTAAATTGATAAGAAGTGATAGCAAAGATTTATATTGTTAGAAAAGATTTACAAGTCTTACTGATCCCAAACTTTTGACCGGTAGTGTACATCTGCATTATATTGGCTTTTAAGATGTTTGAAGCATTCAAATTAATGGAGTATTGGAGTAATTTGTTTTATGCACAGAAATTCCATACATTTTTCTCTTTTCTATTAGATTTTTCTCATTTTGAATCGATCTTCATTTGTGCTGTTTTCAGTTGTTAATTGTAACGCCTACCATCCAATAATTGCAATAAGCTTCGTGCTCTATGTTTTGATATTAAAAGCATTCAAACTTTGTCAATTTTAGGGCTAAATGTTTTTATACAGCTCATTTGAGTTCTGATTATTAAATAAATGTAATTAATGAATTAACTATTAAATAAACCTTGTTTCTGGTTTCCATTTTCGACTAAATGAAAACTTTAATTAGGATTATTTTGATGAAAAATAATTGTGGTGCATCAATAGTAATTAGTATTTTGGTTTATGGGTTTTATATTTATATACATCTATACATATATAGTATTGTGCATTTATTGTAATTAAGCACAATATATATATTTTTTTTCCCTTTGGTTTCTTAAATGTTTTGCTACAGCTCATTGATAATTGTTGATTATTGCATACAGTAAATGTGACTGAAGTTGGGTTTGGCTTGTTTGGTCTGGTTGTATTTGGAGCATGTTAGTTTGTGGATGTGGTGACGCTTGAGCGGTGTGATTTACTGCAGGCAGTGTTTCATATCTGTGCTCTTTAGGGCTGATGCACTAATAAAGCGCTCGTGTCTGCCGGATCCGCGGCTCCCATCCGTCTCCCACGCTCCGGCAAACAGCGGCCCGTAAATACATGCAAAAACCTGGCGCTGGCCTTTCACGCTCCGCTACGATCTCCAGCGCTTCACAAACAACATGCTTCCTCCTGATGAGAAAACAATGACGTTTGCAGAAGCGCCGCACCTTCACAGAGGAAACAGAACGAGAAAAGTTTGCGATGCATTGATTTACGCGCTCATGAATCTCCGGAGAGCAGCGCTCCACATAATGCCGGGCCGTTTAAAGCAGCAGATTTGTGTAGTCTATCAAGGGCTTTCTCAGTAGTGAGAAATTGCTTGTTATCGTAGATCACAGATACGGCTCCAACCTCTTATGAAAGATGAATTAATTTCACTAATGCTTTAATGCAGGTTTCTCGTGAGGCTGGCGATAACCTCGGCTTCATCCCGTGATTTATGCCGTCTTTTAGTAGATGAAACCGCTCGGATTCGCCATCCATCTGCCTCCCTAAAGAATCCTATTACGCAGCGCTGCTGGGACGCTTTGGGCTGCTGCTCGCGTGTTTCAGCGCTGTTAGCGATCTGTTATCACACGGCCAAACCCCTGCAGTGATGTTTGATCTGAAAAACCCTTCCTACACTATTGAGCAAACAGCTTGTCGTTTTCTAATCAGGGTCTCTGAGGGTCTTAATGAGTCTTAATTCACCATTCCACCCATTAAAGCCCAGCAGAAAGTCTTAAATTCATGTTGCATCCTTAAATCGAGATACATTTAGTTGAGATGCAAAATGAAGATTCAAAACAAAACAAAACAAAAAATGTCTTCAGCTGGTGGAAAGGTCACTACAATAAAATAGGATAAATAAAATAAAATGCATTAAATGTTGCATGCACTGCAAAAAAAACAAAAAAACAAGTATTTTTGTCATTTTCAAGTGTGGCAATATCTGAACATCCTTAAATCAAGATACAATTATTGGAGATTGAAAATTAAAATAAAATAAAATATTCACTTTAAATATGGACAGAAAACACGAAATATCTGCAGGTGGTGGACGAGTCACTGCAATAAAATATGATTAAATTAGACAAAATAAAATAACATTGTAAAAGACTAAAAGTGCTAAAATTGTGAAATAATTATTATAAAGCGGAGAGTTCCGGTCCTTGACTCTGATTGGCTGAGCCACGTTCGAAGCTGTTGTAAATTACTCTACAAAGTAACATACACCTTTGTTTACGTTTGTGTGTTGCTCGGCAACCACTTTGTAGCAACCACAACTGTTTCTGAGGAACTACATTGTTTGGTGGAAGAATACTGTTTTTATTAATATCATTACACGCCCCTTAGCTGTTATAAATTCACCGTAAACCACGGCTTCACGGGGCTTATTGCTTTATTTTATATGTACTGTAGATGCAAAAAGTTAAATGCATTAAAGGTAGCATGCACTGCAAAAAAATAAAAATAAATATAAATAAATTCTTCCTCAGTATTTTTGACATTTGCACTGGAAAACAAGACAAAAAAAACGTATGTGCAGTGCAATCGGAAGTACATAAAAGTTATTTACATAGATATTCCAGACAGTTAAAAAGTAACGGAGATCTGTTGGAAGTAGTTTTGTTCTTTGAATAGAAGACACTTCTATCCGGAGTTCCTCTCTTCTTCTGGACTGTGTTCTTTACAGTGAATTTATAACAGCTAAGAGGTTTAACTCTGCTTCACGTCGTACCTAACAACGCCTCTTAACTGTTATAAATTCACCGTAAACCACGGCTTCACGGGGCTTATTGCTTTATTTTATATGTACTGTATATGCAAAAAGTTAAATGCATTAAAGATAGCATGCACTGCAAAAACGGAGATCTGTTGGAAGTAGTTTTGTTCTTTGAATAGAAGACACTTCTATCCGGAGTTCCTCTCTTCTTCTGGACTGTGTTCTCGAGCCGCTTCATCGATAAACCGTCAGTCTGTCAGACGTCTCGATGACATCACCTGCACTCCGCCTTTGATTGACAGCCGGCGGTTTCCCCAGCAGCCAATCAGAGCGAGGCAGCTGTGATCGATGTGTGTTTGTACCCTTGACTTATTATATTATTTTATTTTATTTTATTTTATTTTGACTAATTTATTTTATCTTTTTATTATAATATAATATTATTTTAAAACTTTTATTTAAATTTTAACTAAGTTTTGTTATAATGTAATATAGTTTGAATTTGATTTTATTTTTTTATTTTGTTTCTTATTTATAATATAATTTAATTTATTTATTTTATTTTTACTAATCTTATTTTATTATAATAATAATAATGTTTTTGTTTTATTTTAAATAATTGAATTTTATTTTATTACAATATTATATAATTTTTATTTTATTAGTCCTGTTTTAATCCTTATCTTATTTTCTAATATTATTATGATAATATTTGATTTTGTTTTTTGTTATGATCTAATTTTGTCTTGTGTTATTACAATTCATAAATATAATTCAGCGTATAATATTGCATAATAGTATAATACAGTAATATATTTTTGTTGTAATTTGTTCGCTTTGACAGTTCAGTTAGACCTTAAATAATGTATTTTTCATGCATGAAATTGAAAGCAAACCTTTCCGACTCTGAAGTCTCAGTTGAGTCTGATTTGTGTTATGTTTCTCTCTCACATGATTGTGATTCACCTCTAGCCCCCTGAATGTGAAATGTGTCTGATGTGTTGTGTTGAGACGGAGGGGTGTTTCAGCGCGGCTCTTCATCAGTCACGGCTGCTGTTTATTAGTGACTGAAGGTCAGTGGATCCGTGACGAGGCTGGATCGGAGATGAGATTATGTGCTGCCTGTTCTCCTCGCCGCTGACGAGCGTTCATCTGTCACTGACCCGACCGGACCGTATCCGGCGTTCTGCACACATTTAAAGGAATACTTCACTTTAGTTATACGTTCTGTTATTTTATTTTGTCTAGCTTAATCGTATTTTATTGCAGTGACCTGTCCAATGGCTGCATAGTTTTCTGTCCATATTTAAAGGAATATTTTATTTTATTTATTTTATTTTTTATTTTTTTATTTTAGTAGTATCATTTTATTGTATTATTTATTTTATTTTATCTTATGTAATTTAATCTAATGTTATTAAAATATAATGGTATTATTTTATTTTATTACTATGATTACATTTGTAATTTATTTGTAAGTCGCTTTGGATAAAAGCGTCTGCTAAATGACTAAATGTAAATTTGTTTTATTTTATATTGTCTAACCTTATTTTAAAATAGCATAATTTAATTTAATTGGATTTTTTTTTTTATTAATTTAATCTTGTTTTACTGTAATGTAATATTATTATGAATTTTTGTTTTATTTTATCATATTTTATTTTTCTTATTTTATAATAATATAATTTCTAAATATTTTATTTTATTTTGACTAATTTTGTCTTATGTTATTATATTATAATAATATTATATACTGTATGTAAGGGATAACCAACGGTTTATTTTATTATTATGATTCAATTTGTTTTATTTTATTTTGTCTAACCTTGTTTTAAAATAGCATAATTAAATTTAATTGGATTTTTTAAAAATTAATTTAATCTTGTTTTACTATAATGTAATATTATTATACATTTTTATTTTTGTTTTATTTTATTAAATTTT